TGTGTGTGTGTGTGTGTGTGTGTGTGTGTGTGTGTGTGTGTGTGTGTGTGTTCCTGTTCCCAAATGCATCTTAAACAGAGAAAATGCTAAGGAAGTTAATAGGTTTGCAACCAATTAAATATGTTTTCCAAAGTCAAATGTGAGCCCACCTGTCTGACAGCTGACGTTTGGACCAAAGTGGGTCATGAAAAAAGACGATGATACAGCAACAAATCTACAACACAATGACTGCAAAGCACAAAAATCCAGATGTTGCAATGGTCCAGGCAAAGTCCAAATTTAAACCTGATGGAAATGCTGTGGTGTGGGACCTTAAAGGGCAGAGCAGAAATAACTGTTTGGAAATGAACTGAAGCAATACTGGAAAAAATAACGTGCAATATTTTTCTCTAAGACTGAGAAGGTCATACAGAAAACAAATGCTGCTGCTGAATGTGTTGTTTACAAACTATGGTCTGTGCCGCAACGCAGTAATATGTCATTAGTTATGTAAACTCTCAGGTATTTGACCTAATTTATAACTTGATAATTACCAAATAATTTGTTTTATTATGTTCTGGAATTGGAGATTTTCTGTGACCTTGTAAGAAAATTCATGTTCAATAAACTGACGTCGATATTAAAAACATCATTGTTAAATAAAATGGTTTGTAGAAGGAATCAAACCATCCAACACCAGAATTCTGGATCTGAGTGAGGTTTATTGCCACTTGAGCTGACAGGAAACCACACTGGTGAAAAACCAGGAAGTTCATCAATTTATACGTTCTTCGGTGCCTGCGTTCGCCCCCTACTGACCTACGGCTGAATCACAGGCATTCAGACAAAATTCTCATCTAATGTTCTCATAACGGTTTATTATGTGTTGTTATAGATATTTCGGACATGTAACTAATCTATTATCAATCAAAACATAATAGATTAAACATTGTCAACATTATAAAAAGGAAAACCTAAGACTATAGTGCTGTGCTTCTAACATCAGTACTGAGCTGCAATAACTATAAATTTCTTCAACCCTAACACAGAGGACAAAGAAATATATGAACACAAATCAAGAAATGAGATATTCTGTGTGGTTTTGTGTGAGAGTTTACCATTGAAGGTAACTAGATTTAACAAACTATTTACATATTTTCTTCTGCAGTTTTCACCGGCATGTTTAGACATTTCTCCACATTCCAGGAGCAGGCCAGCGTACATGAATGGAAACAGCCAAAAGTTACTGAGTCAGTACAGCTTAACATGTCCAACCACATTTTATTTAAAATAAAAAAAAATTAAAATAAAACTTGCTTCCAATTAGTCTTTACAAACCCACCCCAATTTAAAAAAGCTATGATGTTAAAAAAAATGTCATATGTAATTAAACCAGAATGCAATAATTTGCAAATCCCATTAACTATTTTATTCACAATAGAACTCAGTGAGCAAATCTGATGTTTAAACCAAGAAATTGAACTGTTTTTAAAAATTAAATAAGGTAATTTAAATGTAATAACACTAACACATCTTAACCTTATGCAATAAAATTTGCAACAAATTGTAATAAACTTGCAACAGATTAGTAAGTTGACAGTGTGTACAAAGAGCATTTCAGAGATGTTGAATCACTTAGAAGTAAATATGGGCAAGGGTTCACTACTAGACTGAAAAACTGTGAAAATAATCAATTTCAGAATAATATTTCTCAACAGAAAACTGGGAAGAATATCCCAACATCTACAGTTCATAATATCTTCAAAATRTTCAAAGAATCTGCAGAAATCTCTGAGTTCAAAGAATAAGGCTGAAAGTTATTATTGGATGTTTGTGAACCTCGGGCCCTCAGGGGGTCTAAATATATTTGGACACTGACACAAATTTTGTCTTTTTACCTGTTTACTGAAACATATTCAAGTTATAGTTATATAATGTACATGGACATAAAGTCCAGACATTCAGCTTTCATTTGAGGGTATCCACATTAAAACTGGATGAAGGGTTTAGGAGTTTCAGCTCCTTAAAATGTGCCACCCTGTTTTGAAAGGATAATTTTAAAGGTAATTGGACAATTGACTCCAAGGCTATTTCATGGACAGGTGTGGACAATCCCTTCGTTATGACATTCTCAATTGAGCAGATAAAAGGCCTGGACTTGATTTGAGGTGTGGTGCTTGCATTTGGAAGGTTTTGCTGTGAAGTAAACATGCGGTCAAAGGAGCTCTCCATGCAGGTGAAACAAGACATCCTCAAGCTGCAAAAACAGGAAAAAACCATCTGAGAAATTTCTACAAAATTAGGAGTGGCATAATCTACAGTTTGGTCCATCCTGAGAAAGAAAGAAAGCACTGGTGAACTCATCAATGCAAAAAGACATGGGCGCCCACAGAAGACAACAGTGGTGGATGATGGCAGAATAATCATCACGGTTAAGAGCATCCCCTTCACAACAACCAACCAAGTGAACAACACTCTCCAGGAGGTAGAAGTATCAACATCCAAATCTACCATAAAGACAAGACGGCATGAAAGTAAATACAGAGGATTCACTGCACGCTGCAAGCCACTCATAAGACTCAAGAATAAAAAGGCTAGACTGGACTTTGCTAAAAAAGATATAAAAAAGCAGCAGAGTTCTGGAAGAATATTCTTTGGACAGACGAAACCAAGATCAACCTCTACCAGAATGATGGAAAGAGAAAAGTCTGGTGAAGGCGTGGTACAGCTCATGATCCAAAACACCACATCATCTGTAAAACACAGCAGAGCAGTGTGATGGCTTGGCCATGCATGGCTGCCAGTGGCACTGGGTCACTAGTGTTTATTGATGATGTGACACAGGACAGAAGCAGCCCAATGGGCAGCGCTAATCCAAAATTTAGCTTCGCAACTTCAAAAGCGCTTATGCCATAGAAAAACTAGCGGAAGCTAATTTTAAAGCGTAAATTCAATTTGCCACTTACTAGCTGGCAACAATTCAGGTACAATATATGCACAACACTGCCAACTAGCTGTGTATGAACTCTTTTACAACTTAATTCTACAACTGCCGATTGCTGGGGATGTGATTTCCTGAAACAGACCTTTAGCTCCTGATGTAAAAATTAAAAAGTTTTTGAGGATTGCTAGTTCTGCTGCTTCTTTGTTTTTTTCTTTTGTTTGTTGTAGATTTTTCTTTAAAAAACATCAATAAAATAATTTTAAAACTGTTTATTGGAAAACTGAAGCGATGCATTTTGGGTACATGACAGATTTGTTTTGTGACGGGAAACAAAAGCATGGATAAGGAAACTATCTTCCCTTCAAAATAAGAGCTTGGATTTTAAAGTTTTCCATGTAGTTGCTCCAGTTGACCACTAGATGTCTGTCTTCATCAGC